CTCCTCTCTCTCTCTCTCTCTCTCTCTCTCCTATCTTTTTATATTGCAGAGCACTGAACTGACAGTAACAATGATGATGATAATGATAATGATAGCAATGATAACGATAATGATGATGGTGATGATGATGATGGTGTTGGTGATGATGGTGGTAGTGGTGGTGATGATGGCAATGATGATAGTGATGGTGATGATGATGGTGATGATGGTGATGATAATGATGATGATGATGATGATTAATGCTAGATGAAATGTACGAACGAAGGGAATTTTTCTATTATCGTTGTTGTCGCTAAAATTGTTGAAAAATTTTTTTTTCGGGAAAAAAAAAAACGAAGAAAAGAAGAAGGAATGAATGGGTAAAGAAGTACAACAGATTTTTGTTCATTAAATCAAAACAAACGCCTCTCAAGAATATTTTCTTTCTTTTCATTTTATACATTATCAGCATGACTATAATGATGACTAATTCATTTAATGATCATGATAATGATAACGATAATGATAATGATAACGGTAAGTAATGATAACGATAATAGTGATAATGATAATGGTAATAGCGATAGTGACGGTAGTGATGATAGTGTTTTATTTCATACATTATCAGCATGACTATAATAATGATTAATTTATTTAATGATAGTGATAATGATGATGATGATGATGATAATGAAGATAGTGATAGTGTTTCATTTCATACATTATCAGCATAACTATCATGAGTGAATGGAATATAGAAGTGATGATTAATCTATCAAATCCGAAATTTTGCTTGAAGTCCATAAATTAGCACAAAATGGTCATTTTATATTTCTATCTCACTTTCCTTCTTTTTCACCGCTATTTTTTCTTCAATTTTCCTCCTATCTAATCGTTTAACTGAGTCATAGCCTATTGTCCTCTGGAATAGCTTACAATTAAGCATTTTCAAAATAAGCTTTTGACATCATGTTTGCTTCTAAAGTAAAAGTGAATAAAATGCATAATAAACCAAGTCATCAACTAAAGTTATTTGCGCTTAAATTGCGCTAAAGAAGCAGTTATGTGTACTAAATTACACTTACCTTAACTATAGAAATGTGGACTTGAAATTGTAAATTTGAAATTTATCAAAAGGAAAACAAGAAACAGTTATAGCAAACTAATATTAATCAACAATTATAATGATTAAAATGATGATGATAATGATGATGATGATGATGATAATGATGATGATGAT